GTTCCATCTCCATCCACTACTACTTTTGCCCAATTCAGGTAATGCTTCCACTTGTTTATTATCTTTCACTCGCAGTCCCTGGATCATAGACTCTGGCGTTTCTGACCACATGACTAGTGTGTCTGATGTTTTTTCTACTTATCAGTCTGCTACTTCTACACGTATTGTTACTCTTGCTAATGGTACTTGTGCTAAAGTTTTAAGTTTGGGGACTAATCACTTGAGTCCTGATATGTCCCTATCTTCCGTATTATTTGTTCCTCAGTTTTCTTTTAATTTACTTTCTATTAGCAAGATTACCCATTTTCTCAATTGTTCTGTAACTTTTTATCTTTCTTATTGTGTCTTTCAGGATCTCAAGACGAAGAGGAAGATTAGTACGGGGCATGAAACTGGTAGTTTATATTACTTTGATTTTGATTCACTTACTCTGGCTCTATAAACCTCGTTATCTCCCTTTCAATGACATTGTCGTCTTGGACATCACTCTCTCCAAAATTTAAAGCGTCAAGTTCCCAATCTTAGTTCTGTGTCGTCTTTGTCTTGTGAAGCTTGTCAACTTAGTAAGCATCACCATGTGTCATTTCAGTCTAGAGTCAATAATCGCATGTCTAGTCCATTTGAGTTGGAACATTCTGATGTATGGGATCCAATAAAGAATATTTCATCTAATAAATATCCATATTTTGTGTCATTTGTGGATGAATATTCTCGTGTGACTTGGTTGTTTTTTATGAAAGCTCGGTCTGAATTATTCTTTATATTTTGAGACTTTTAGTAAGAAAATAAATACTCAGTATGGTTGTCGTATACAAATTTTACGTTCTGATAATGCTCGGGAATATAAATCTGATCCTTTTTCAACTTATCTTAGTAAAACTAGCATTATTCATCAGACTTCCTGTGTTAACACATCTCCTCAGAACAGTGTTGCTGAACGCAAGAACCGTCATTTGGTGGAAGTCACCCGTGCCCTGTTATTCCAGATGAATATTCCCCAATATTTTTGGAGTTATGTTGTTCTTACTGCTTGTCACCTTATTAATCATATGTCATCCTCTGTGTTAAATGGACAAAGTTCATATTCAGTCATTTTTCCTAATAAGCCCTTATTTTTCGTAACTCCTTAGGTTTTTGGATGTATCTGTTATGTTCACAATTTAGGTCCTGAGTTTGATAAACTTGACCCTCGAGCTACCAAATGTGCATTTCTTGGTTATTCTCTCACACAGAAAGGGTATTGTTGCTACAGTCCTTCTCTGCGACGATACTTTACTAGTGCTGATGTCATTTTTGAGGAATCTGTTCCATATATTTCAGCACCTTCTCAGCCTTTGGATCTGGACTTTAGGTCATCTCTTCCCTTATCTTCAGATATTTCACTACCCACTGTGTTACTATCTACTTTACCTCTTCGTGTATACTCTCATTGTCCTCGACCATCGACTGAGGTGCCGGTACCGTCTTCTTTGCCGCCTTCTAATTCTGGTCCATCGAGTAATTTAGACTCTTTACCTATTGCTCTTCGAAAAGGTACTCGTTTGTGTGTTACTAATGATCTCATTGCTAAAAAACAATCTGTGGTAGCAAAATCCAGTGTTAAAACTGAGTATAGGGCAATGACACATACGACGAGTAAGTTGACTTGGCTACTACACTTTCCCTAGAAAATTGAGTTTTCAGTTCAACTTCCTTTACAGTTGTTCTGTGATAACCAGGTAGCCATCCATATCGCTGTCAATCCAGTGTTTCACGAGAGAACCAAACATATTGATATTGATTGTCACTTTATTCGGAACAAGGTAGTAGCTGGGGAGATTACAACTCCATTTGTGAAATCTGAAGATCAGTTTGCAGATATGTTTACCAAAGTATTAAATCGTACACGTCTTACAGCGATTTGTTCCAAACTTGGATTATATGATATATATAGTTTAGCTTGAGGGAGATGTTAAGAATATTAGGGTAGTATGTGTAATTGTTAATGTAAGAGGGTGTATATATAATTTTTATTATTGTGAGTTAACTATAAATACAAATGATCTATAAGCACTAGGTTAAGTTTTTGACCTCTCTCTGATATTCTCTAATATTGTGTTAATCCTCTATTCTTAACAGAAACCATTGAGCAACTTATAGAAAGGGGGAGAGATGTGGCCAATTTACAGTAATTTCATCCATCTAAACTTGGGGCAAATGCATTAATTTCTCCACTTAATCCATCAAGCTTAATTTTATCAGTAACATTGTCACCAATCTTGCCATCACTATAGATAATTGACCCTAAATATAGAAAGTATTCACCGGTGTTCTCTTTGTATTAAATTTCCATACCACATAGTCATTTTACTTTTACTCCAATTAAACCCATCTGATTCTAAAACCTCCCTAGATACTTTAAATCTATTGTTGTTCATTAAACAATACTATGATGATGTCATGTGAACTGCTAGAAACATGTGAAATGTATAACTAATCCTATAATGAAAATTTCATAAGGAGATTGAAGTAGGCTACACCATCAAAACCTCATCATAAACATGTCAAGTCAATTCATCCATAACGAAAGAAAAAAATATTGACATAAAGCAAAAACTGATGTAAGCCTAATTAAGAATTCATTAGCCTCCCATATAGTTGGTCACTACATCTTCTCACATTTTCTTAATCTATACTACTTATTGTCGACATCTACAAAAAAAAATTTAATTTCTTATTTTATCCCTAACTATTAGAATAAAGTCAATTATACTCACCAATATACTTTCACCTAATTTATGATTTTTATACTTATTTGATTTTTAACTTATTTTGGACTATTTTATAAGCACTACTAAATTCTTTTGAATTCATTTAGTAGTAGTACAGTTACAAACAATTATTTATATCTATACGAAGAAGTAAAGTTCTATATTTATATTTTGGTATGCAATAATATAATAATATTGTAAACGATCTAATCAATTTATTTAACAAAATAAAAATTAATAATTCTATAATATAATTAGATATGCAAATGCCTAAAAGGGTTAAAGAGATACCTAAATAAATGCCAAATTTGATATTCAAAAACTTATAGAATAAATTAATAATTAAATTTAGCAATAATTAAAATATGGATTAATTATTCAACACATAATTTATTATTTATTAATTACACAAATAATTAACATTTTTTATAAAATAATATTATTTAAATTTGTTTACGTGCAACGCACGTTGTACATTGCTATACCTCTATTGTTACTTCCAAGTTCCTAATTAACTTTGTATGAATATCTTTTTCATTCTCTTACATCTTCTTTATTAGTCTCCTAAATAATTATATAGCTTCAATTGTTAACCTCATGCATAAGTCCAATCTGAATCTTAGATCTGTTGTTTTGAATCTTAATTGTTGCTCTATTACTCTCTTCCTAACTTGTTCAACTAAAATTAGTATCTTGAATCCACGCTCTTTCTCAGACTCATTTGAAGAGGTGCTCATTTGAAGAGGTGCAGGAACCCTTGCCCTTTTTTCACTAAATCTAGCCGACTAGTATGAAACGCCTCTTGCCTACTTCTCAAAAAACCAGGATAGAGGTGTAACGTGTAGATTTCAGGAAATTTCCTAGTATTCATTTGAAATAAATTGCACAATCCATGGATTTACCTTCTAATGCTATATAATTAATAATAGAAGAAAGACCAAAAACTCAAGAAAAAGAATCAAATCGAATAAAGCTAGTGATAAAATTTCCAAGAGCCATGCCCATGAACAAAATGGTAGTTGAATCTAAGTTGCTGAATAGAGTACTAAAACTTTTTCAATGTGAAAATAACAAGATAATTTTGGCATAAGCCAACGTCCCAAAGCAAAAAAAATTTCCATGTGAGTTCAAATGAAAATAACCGATGATTTTCTCAGAACTATTTCTAGCAAACAACATTACAAAATACTAAAGGTTCACAACATCCTTCTACTTCTGCAAGACATTCTGATAGGGTCATAAGAAACTTAAGTCCTCATGATTTGTAATTGGCACAGGTTTTGGACTGGCCTAACAAACTTGATGTATTCTTTGACCACTTCTTTCCTCTTAATAGGCTCATAACATAATCTTGTTGAATTGTAAAAATCACATGAACACTTTCAATAATCAATTCACCTTGCAACTGAAAATAATAACTAGCTAATGCTGCAGTATATCCAGCAACCTCAAGCACACCAATGGAATTACTTCATTGCCTGGGCAAATTTTAATTCGAAAGGAAAATCATTGAAGGTTGTTATCCTCAAGCTTTGCCTCTGTCACTGTTTACAATTTATGGTGGGAGATAAACAATAGCATCTTTAACAACCTGGTTACATCCCAGCAAAGTTTGCTATTCAGGATTCAAACCTCTATCAGAGAAAGACTTTCTTTGCTAAAGTTCAAGGCCAGCCCTCAGAATCTGCTCTTAGTGCATCATTGGAATATCTCTAGTATTTGTCTTGTATGAGAGTTTTGTGTTTTTTGCTATTGCTCAGGGGTGGAATTAGGGAGGAAGTAAAGTCTTTTGCTTCACTTCTGTCAGATGATAACCCACTAATGCATCTTTGTTTTAATTTTGTATTTAATATTTGCTATTGAATCAAAAATATAATTCATATGCCATACATCCAGAAGAGATTTTACAAACTCTTACACAAGCTTGCAACAATCAATGAAGCAACAATCAATGAAAGTACAACTTCAATGACTTATAGTCAATCACTTACCCATCTCTAATTTCCTACCTAAGGCAAAAAAAAAAAAAAATATATATATATCACTATATTTTTCTTTTTTAATCAGTTCAGACAATCCCATTTTCTTTGCGAACTATATTTTTCCAAGCATGATAACAATCAAAACATAGGAGATAAAACCAAATTTTGGCAAATATAGTATTCACAAAATTATGTGCCACTGAGATCACAATTGCTTATATCATAATAGAAGAAGATAGACATGTAAGAAAGTTCATACTAATAACTTACATAGAGAAGGAGGGGTAACCAACAATCTGATTATACCATTAGTTTCCTTTGTCATTGTTGTTGTCTCTCAGCCCCTCTGTCCACAATGGGTGAAACTAGGCTTTCAATATAGGTCTTGTGTACAAAACATGCACCAGAGTTACGAATCTCAGGATACTTCACCGTATTATCCTTCGGATTGTACAGTCCTACTTTTGTCCTCATACTGAGCAAAAGTGTACCATCCTTTGAAATGCAAAATGGTGTTTCATACTGATGACATAACTCAGGATACATCCAAGATAACATAGTTGCTATTTTAGACCAAGAGTAGCTCTTTCCATATTCCTTCATCACCCATACATCTGCAAGATTTCCATGTTGGCAGAGTATACAAAGATATTCTCCTAAAACCCCTAACATCGAATAAGCATCATCATTTCCATAGTTGGGTTGCGCCATCTTCCTGACCGTCTCCTTAGCTAAATCAAGAGAAACAATCGTCCAATCTCTCGATTGCATATCACTACCCCACGCCCAATAGAGTGCCCCACCTGCAAACTTACCCCAGCAAACTACATGAGTACCAGCAGGAAATTTCCCGATCCTCCTCCAAGTATCAGTCCTTGAACTGTAAACCTTGACATCATTCTCATACAAGTCCCAATTAGAAAAATCTACAGAAATCCCCACCACTCTATAATCATCACTAGTCTCATCATAACCACACCCAAACGTAATATCATCACCATGTTTCAATGTAAGGCCATGATCAGGCAATTTCTTGGATTCTCTCGTAGATGGGTTCCACAAAAATATGCTTTCATTATTGATCATAATACAAACTAATCCATTACAAGAACCCACAACAGAAATCCCATCTTTTCGTCTTTTCATAGGACACTCCAAGTCAATAGCAGTGACAGAGGGTTCATAAAATATAGATTGAAGAGAACAAGTTTTTAGACAATAACGAGAGAAAGTAGAGATGAAAATGAGGCCATGGTTAGCATAATCTTTATTTCTGCATGATACCTCGAGATGGGTTTTGGCGAATTGAGGGCTTGAAATTAAAGAACGCCATGATTTGGAAACGCACCTGAACTGTAACAGAGACTTGACAGGGAGGCTTGAGAGTATGTTCACAATGATTTCATGCGGAATGAATGGCAGCGGCTTTGAATCCTGGGGTAGAACGGTGGTGGCAGCCATTTTGGTGGAATTTTTGTTTCTCCTAGGGTTGTGCTATTGGGTTTTGTTGGAGTTCGAATCTGTTGCTGCGGAGAAAAACAAATGGGGCTCAAATCCGAGTGGTGGTCTAATTAGGCTAATTAGGTCATGATGTATTGCTACCATTAGATTCGTAGCAAATCCTAGTTAATGTTGGTACTTCCTATTAACCTAATGATAACAATCATTGAATTTCAAAATAAAGTTTCAATAGCATTCCATTCTTATTTTTAATAGATAATGTTAACAAATTAGGTGCAAATGGTATTATTGTCCGATGTTAGTACTCACTGTCTATAAAAATATATATTTAATCTCAGAAGCAATGCAATTTCATTTTTGGGGCAAACTTAATTAAGTAGGCCCTTATGCCAATTGGTAGTCAGCCACTTGATAGATGTCTTAAGTTGGTATTAGTCAAGGATTCGATTCTCCATAGAGTGAAAATGCTCCTCAGGGCCACCTCCCCTAGATTTAACTCCTACGCGTGAAGAGGAGGTTTTGCGTGTGGACTCCAAATGGACTAGGTTGGTAAAGGGATTGTTGGTTATTAAAAAAAAATTATATCAATATCAATCTATACATAAACATATTAATTTATTGTGGAGAGAATATGACACGGGCTTTACCACTTTATTTCCTTATTCATCAAATTTTGGAATTGTTAACTTAAAAAGGTCTTTTCAATTACATTGTACCATATATGTCTTTTATAATCATCTTCCACTTCAACATTAACTAACAATCGATTATAAGAATTTACATAAAATATTATCTTTTCTAATCCTAAAACAACATGTAATTCCTTAATTCCCCAAGCCGTGACGTGAAAATGCAAAAAAAAAAAAATTGAGAAAGAAAATCCAAAAAAAAAAGACTGTGGGTTCAAAATAAGATCAGATGATAGCTATTTTTCTTTTCTTTTTTTGTATTGTAATTTTACAACACATTTAATAACTGTCACTCTCCCCTCCCAAATATGGATTGAAGAAACTAATGCTTAATTCAATACAAAGTATGTATAAAATAACAAAATTAACATTTTTTTAGGAGAGAGAAGGCGATGAAGTTGGAACCCGCGATCACCTATGTTACAAAAATGAGCACTTACATGACCACTCCCCTGTCCCAAAAAAATACATAATTGACGGGAGTTTATAGTAATTAATTCTAAAATAATTCACATACGTGTCGCGCATGTATATTACTAGTGGGTTACTCATTGTTTATATATTCACCAATCTTATTTTAGTATCCTTAAATGACCTTATGCCCAATTTAGATGACGATAATCTAAATCGGGAAGAAGAATTGTATACTAAATCTCTAGATTATCATGTTTAATTAATTGGGATAATCAATTACTCGATAATCCAACCTCAATGATGATAATTGCATACCAACCTTGGATTGGGTATTCTAAAAAAGGAATAAAATTCTAAACTCAAGTTCATTTCTAAAGTTAACTTCATTCCTTGAATGAAGCCCATTTTGTAAAATTAAATTCATTCTTCTTACTACTGGTATACTAACGATAGTCAAACACTAATTATACTATTACTATAGTAGTTGAAACCCCAGTATCTCGTTACTTGGAATGAATATTTATTCTCAATTAAAAGCCTTAAAGTCTTTTAGTGAAACGAAACAATGAGATCCAAATCGTGACATATATAGCTAAAGTTTAACCTCTATTGTGAGATTAAAATATCAATGACCTTATCACCTCTAGTATGACCACCTGTAAGGCTAGCCTCGCACGCAGTCGCGTATCTGTCACTTGAGTGTGATTAAGGCTAAAAGTAAATGGTCATAGGAGTCCTTAAATGACCAAAGTTGAGCATAAAGCAGGGGCGGCCCCCACTTAATCTGGGACCTTGTGCAAAAAGTTTTAGATGAGTCTCTATCAATTTTTAGCACACTAATATAGCTATTATTACATGATTACTAGTTAGAACTTATTTTTAAGATTATATTTGAGAAAAACAGCAATTTTTTAGATTAACACATGAATGCATCAAACTAAAAATAAAATAGTATATTAAATATGGTTAATTGAACAAAATATTTTCATCAGAATTAAAATGGGTATTCATAAAACTAGGCCATGGAAATGAATATATAATGTTGTACATGGAAATCCACTTAAAACTTCCAACATATACACACAACGAAATTGTTTTCAAACATCAACAGTATTCATATAATTGAAGACCTCCAAGCATAAATGTCAAAGCTCTCAAGTAGGATGGCATAAGACCTTTAGTGATCTAGTTTTTTGGGTCAGACAATTTCAGAAGCAAGCAATAGTTTATCAGCTGAACATTTAGATAAACTAAAATTGGCAAATGGGTATTCTAAGAAGATCTCCGAGGAAGATTGTATTGTATGCTCATCGGATACAAATGAGTATAAACCACGATAAAATCAACATAAGATCACCCAAAATGTGTGAAGTGACGACAAAATTGCATACCTGCCAATTGATTTCTTTTATTATATTCTACTTAGCCTTCTCAAATTATATCCAAACCAACACGGCAGAAACAATATATCACTAAACAACCCTACATTAACCATTTCGCAAGAAAACTAAAATATAAGATCCATTAAAAACTAAAATTCCAACCATCATGACAAACAAAATTATCTTGAAATAAATTAGTAAAACAAAGGAAAGCATAAAATATATAGTTTTTTTAAAATCAGTATAAAACAAAAAAAAATCTCATCTATAACAATGAATTGGAGCAGCAAGATATTACATTAGAAGCTCCTACCGAAAACAAAGCACAAATGCAAGTTTTAAGATTTATTTAGGTTTCAATGGACATTTGTCATCATGGAAAATTAAGTAACACCTTAAATGAGACAGAACAAACATAAAAAAATTGCTAAAAAAGTTTCACAAAACATTAGATTAATTACACATCAAAACAAAAAATTAGGACACCACCAACGGATTTTATCATACTTTATTAGTTATTTCAAAAAATTAAAAATCCGTTACTTCTCAACAATGCTAAACTCCACCAAAGTAGATTGGACAGTTCATCACCGGATTGAAAGCGGGGTCGATTTGGAAGCTCCTGGAGTATCCATATTTGATTTCTTTTGTTGAGCCTTGGTTCCTTTTCATGTCTCTCGGTTGGACTCAGTTTGAAGAAAGGAAAAAAAAGTGGCAAAGAAAGGTGAAATCTTTGGCTTTTTACTTTGATGCTGTGCAGAGAGAGGATAAATACACGTCACTGTAACAACACTCCAAAAACGCAGCCACCCACGTGCATAACATTACTGCTCCCCCCAACCCGCAGCCACCCACCCACATACTTGACTCTCCCTAGGCAACAAACAAAAACATCCTCTATTGTAGTTTAAACTCCAATGCCATAGCATTCCTTGCAACATGAACAGTTCCATAATCAAATTCCCAATTGATGAAATAAATTCTACCCCAAAAAAACCCCATGTTCCTGAAATATACACCAAGACATGGACATCTAAAGACACCCAAATCTATAGGAATTGTCATATGATACTTTTGGTATCATGCAAATCCAACCAAAAATTAAGAAACAACTAAGCAAAACAAATTAAGTTTTGAAATCCAAAATTTTTAGCTGCTTTTTGACTTATTGAAATCAATAGTGTTTTGGGATTGGATCTTGGATTCTAAATATGTGGGGTGTTCTGTGGGTTGTGGGTTGTTTCGGTGGCAATGAGGGACGAAAGGGAGGGAGTGAAGACGCAAAGGATATTAGGAGAGAAATAGAGGCGTTGCTTTATGGTTTCTCAGCCCGTGCGCCAAAGGTTGTGCTCAACTAATTTTTCTTCTCTCTGGAATTTTGGTGACATATAGTATGCATCAAAGGAAGGGGGTTGTCGACACCACTGGGTGTGTGCGTCCAGAGTGTGTTGTGGGTGCGGGTTTGTGTGTTGTGTGTGCGTGTGTCTGTGTGGGTTGGTACTCGGGTACTTTGTTGCAGACCGTTTTTTTTTGTGTTTGCTGCTGTGTGCATGTAATGTTTCAGAGAGTGTGTTGTGTGTGTAGGTGAGAGTGTGACAAAGGGGTTTTTCGGTGGAAAGAGAAAGAGGGGGAAGGAGATAGAGAAAGACCAACCTTAGAGAACGAGAGAGCCACCAGAATTGTTGGGTTGCCAAAGCCGGTGCGTCGCCGGAGTTGGGTGCTGGAGAGAGAGGGAGGAGAGAAATGGGTGAAATCGATCCACTGTACTAAATAATAATATTTATTTTTACATTTCTTTTGATTATATTATTTAAAATTTATTTTTACCTATTATTTTTTAAAAAATATGACAAAAATATGTTATTTGATAAATTTTCTTTGTGTATACTATTGAATAATATCTGAAATAAAAATTATATTAAATTATAAATTAATCAAATATTATATAATTAAATAAGTGTGATGTGATAATTTTAGAGAAAAAAAAATTTATGAGATAAAATTTCAAATAACTAAATGTTTTATTATATAGATCTCCCCGTCATATTTCGGTCTTCCAAGTATAGGTAGGACTCTTAATAAAAAAAAAAAAAACTAAACCATTGGACTTCCACTCGATTTTTTTTTTAAGATTTATTTTAAAAATGAGTTTAAGTTTGATTGGAACTCGATAAACACGATTCATTCATTTATGTGGAAATACTTAAACTTTACTCGTGTTTAATTTATTTTGGAGTCGTTCAAATTCGATTCGTTTAAAATAAATAATATTTTAAACTCAATTAAAAAACGAAATTTTTTAAATTCGATTTGAACTGGTTTGAGCTGAGATAAAAAACGGATTGTGTGGCCACATCACCTCATAATTACATTCTCAAGTACGACTTTTTAACTTAGATGATCTTGGATAAAATTGAAAGTTGAAATCTAAAAATTGAATACTAAATTTGTGGACTATTTGATATTCTCTTAAATTTAAGTAATGGATTGAACTAACTGTTTGATAACTACACAGAGATGACGTTTGAAAATAAATTAATTTTCAGTTTTATCCTTCTATTATTTAATTTAAAAATATTTGTAAAAT